ATGCATATGTCTGGACTGTAACTTTTTTCTGGAAGTGGATATCTCTGACCAGTGATAAAGTCCACTATTGAAAAAGTATAACTCCTTCACTGCTTGCTATTAGGTTCTAAGATGGGCTCAGTAAACTCTGGAAGAAATGAATTTCTTACCTACCCAAACCCCTCTCCCATCAAATTCTCATTTAGAGAATTTTCTAACCTATTGAAATTCAGTACTGTGAACAAATACTACAACTTTATACCTGTCTCAAAGGTTATGAATGGAGTATTATGTTATTTTAATACAATCAAGTAATTTTATGCCTATATACATGTACAGACATACACAGCAAACGCATATCATCTACCCCCCATACACACTAAGCACGCATCACACACACACACTGTGCACACACAGAGACTCACGCATGCACCACACACTCACAAACTGCAGTCTCTTTTATTGTTGGCTCATCTACATTCTCACTCATGTGCACAGCACCCTTTATTTTCCATGAAATTTCTAAATACTTTAAACTATTAGATTGGCACAAAGGTAATTGTGGTTTTCGCCATAATTTTTAATAGCGCCGTTTTAAAAAACCACCATTTTAAAAATAATCGCAAAAACCACAGTTACCTTTGCCCCAACCTATATTTCACAGACATTGTCCACTTTGAAAACTCTACATTTAGAAATATGAGGTTTTGTCGTGTTCATTTAAACTCCCCCAGAGAAGTCTACTCTCATTGGTAACTTGGAGCTGCTCAATTGGGTTGACCTTTCTAGCAGGAAGCAGTGAGCTTGAGTACTACTAACTTTAAGAGCTCTTCTGCAGGCTCAGGAGAGACCACAGTGAAGAAGGAAGTAGCTACTTACTGCTTTACTTCCTTTAAGCAGGGTGTACAGTGGCTGAGCTGAACCTGCAGATGCACCATGGACCAGCCTTGTTTCTCCTATGACAGAAAGGCTGTGCAGCAAACTAACCTGCAGGCAAATGGGGAAATCTATTGGAAAAGGAAGAGAAAAAAATAAAATGAATTATCCAAGCATTCTGCAATCATGAAGAAGTAATCAACAGCAAATGCCAAAAAGCTCAACAGGTTAAAACACTTGGAATAAAGATAAGATGTAATAAGGAAGTAACAACTAAAATGGGCAGAGATGAATAGGAGATGCCTTACCAATTGCTCAGTTTAGGACTTGCGAATCCTATCATCATGTACATGTGTCTACATCTTAACTACTATGTTTCTAGTTACTCTAAATTCCAAAGGTACTTTTGGGGTCATTTTAATGGAATGGATTCAAATGCATTGTCAATGAAAGCCAGATTTCTGCCCCCTGGTTGCTTAGATTCAGCGATGATGCCATTTCCAGATTGGATAGCCTATCTAATTGAAAATGATTAGAATTGAGCATGTTAAAACATAGCATAATTGCGCATTTAAAAAGGACTTTCACATAGTATACTGAGTTTGCTTTCTGCCTTTCCTCCACCATTATTTTTCTTCTTTCTTCCAACTTCGTTGAGCTCTCCTGTTCCATTCGACTTCTCTCCTTTGTTTCCACTTCTCATCTTTATTTCACTGCCAGTATTTTCCAGTAAATGATCTAGAAGCCAATTTTCCATTTCCTCCCACTCATTTCTTAGACCCATTGTAACCTGGACCTCCGTGGTCAGTGGAAACCACAACCAAAGGCCAAGTGTCTTTCTTGTCTACACCTTCTTCTCAGTACATCTTTGATGTTAAAATGAAAACACACGCATACAAAATTGAAGAATAAGACTGTAGTAGATGGTATTTTAAAGATGTCCCCTCCAGACTCCCTGATCATTCAAACATGAATCTTCGTACAGCTGTGAGGGGACTTTGCAGTTGTAAATTAAGGTTGATCATCAGGTGGCCTTAAAGCAGAGAAATGATACTGGATTGTTCTGGTCTAATCACATGAGGCCCTGAAAGCCAAGGCTTTTTTCCCTGGCTACAGCAGAGAGATACAGAAGAAGAGATGTGTTGAGAAGATGAGGCAAAAGGAGAAGTTAGATTCAAAGGGTGAGGGATTCAACCGGCTATTTCTGGTTTAGAAAGAGTTCTTGAGTCAGGGGATGTGGGTGGCCTCTAAAAGCTAAGAATGACCCCTGGCTGACAGACAGAAAAGAAATGGCCACCTCAGTCCTGTAACTGTAAGGAATAAATTTTGCCAACAACCTTGCATGTGCCTGACAACAGCTTCTCCCCTAGAGCCTCCAGAAAGGGACATCACCCTGTTGACACTTAAGTTTAAGTCTTGCGGTTCTCCAAGCAGAGAATCAGCTGAGCTGCACTGGATGCAGATTTCTGACCCGTGAAAACAGATCATAAATGGAGGTTGATTTAAGCCACTACATGTGTGGCAATTTGTTACAGTGGCAATAGAAAACTAACACAGATTGCCAGAACTTTTTCTTAGGTTTCTGACATCTTTGCATTCAAATTCCCATGTCTCTAAATCATGGTTAAGTGTCCCATCTTACTTAATTTCCAAACATCTAGACTTCCCTATTGAAAATGGCAAACTTACTTTCTGACTGGACGCCATGGGACCAGACCTTGAATCCTATATAAGAATGTGTGAGATTGTGCATTTTGTATGTACATATATATATATGTATGCATATATATGTATATATAATAGTTTACGTATATACACATATAATACTTCACATATACACATATAATAGTGTATAATATATGTATTATAGTTTGTGTATATATAGTTTTAGTATAATGTGTATAATATACACAAATAGTTACATATACACATATAATAGTATATATACACATACAATAGTTTACGTATATACACATATAGGAATCTTAGCCATTATACATACACATATATGTATTTTGTTCTCAACTCCAGGGACTAACATATATTGTTTCATAGCAACCCTACAAGTTATATACTAATGGCTCTATTCTTACATATAAGAGTTAGGCAGAGATAAGTCAAATACCTTGCTGGAGGTTACCTAAAAGACAGCTGAAGACCTAAGCACAAGTATGTCTAGATCCAAAACTGCAAGCTCCTTAGTTTTCAGCCTGTCTCTCTCTCACATTGAATCTTTTTTAGACATTGCCAGGCCCTACATGCATCTTGGTCCAGGTGCCATGCACCACCTTCCTTAACCTCACCTGTCCAGGACATTGAGGCTCTGTAATGCCTCTGTAGTTTCCCCTTTTATCTCTTTGCCTTCTCAGTATTTCCTGAATTGCCCTCCATCTACCATATGTAAAGGAACTTCAAGACTGTGTGTTCTTAATTCTGTGACTCTGTTCTCCAAAAATTCAGTTTACTTTTACACTTTTAAATTTAGTTCTTTTCATGACTTTCTGTTCCACGTCTCCAGTCCTAACTTTTTCCTAAGTTCTAGGCACACTTATAACAGCTGAACTTTCCCTTTTGACGATCTTCTGGATGCAATAGTCAACATGTCTAAATCAGCATTGCACATTAAATAAAGGGGGGAAACCCTCCCTTCTTACCACCCTTTTTCCCTCACTCATATAATCCATCTCCTTCATGGCCAGTCAGAAACCTCCTGGCATCTTTGAACTTCCCTTCTGGCTAAGACGGTGGGCTCAGGAACTGGACCCCCTGGGTTTACATCCCAGCTCTGCTACTGACTTTGGGCCAATAGCTTAATTTCTCCAGATCCCAAATATTCCTCTGTAAAACTGGAATGGTGCTAACAATGATAACCATACTTACCTCACAGGGTTGTTGGATGGTTCAAATAAGGTTCCACAAAAAATTTAGACCAGCATCCAGCACATAGTACTTGCTCAATAAATTTCAGCTTTCATTTTTTATTTTACTGCTAGATCTTTGTAATCTCCCTGAAATTTATGGTTATGTTTCTGTTGCCTACTTCTCTGTCTTCTACCACCCTATGTTAATATCTAGATTAATGCACACCATCTCTGGATCAAATTCTCTACAATCCAGCCTGCATGTAGCTACTGAAAGAATCTTTCTAAAGCACTATTGTAATTATGATTCAAAAATCCTTTAGCGGTTCCTCATGATTTCAGGATACAGTGGAAAATTTTCCTTATCTTGGCCTTCAAAGCCTTCCATGAACTAGCTCCTGACTTCTACCTTCAATTGATTCTCTCTCTCCTCTCCTATTTAACCCTGGAGTGTAGACAGGCAAATTTCTAATTCTTTCTTAAATATTCTGCTTTGGCCTGCCTTTTTGCCTTTGTTGTGACTTAATAGTTATGCATACTATGTACCAGGTAAGGCAATGCACTGATATTTTTAAGATGTCATTTTATTTATCCTCACCAGAAACCTATAAGATAGTGACTGTGCTATCCCTATTTTACAGATGAGAAAACTGAGGGCTGGAAAGGGTGAGTGATTGGCCAAAGGACACACAGTTAGGAAGTGATGGATCCAGGATTTGAATCACAGATGATTCTATAATTTGAAACATTCTACCTTGATGCATCCCCTCTGCTACATTTCCTTTCCAGTAGGATGCTTTCCTCTGCATTCGTCTCTTTGATTCCCACCTGTTATTCAAAGCCTACCTTAGAGATATCTTTTCTATAAAGCTTACCCAGACTCCTTCAAACTCTAGTGAACTCCTCTGTAGGATACAAGCTTCTTTTTTTTTTTTTTTTTTTTTGTGAGACAGAGTCTCGCTTTGTCGCCCAGGCTGGAGTGCAGTGGCGCGATCTCGGCTCACTGCAAGCTCCGCCTCCCGGGTTCACGCCATTCTCCGGCCTCAGCCTCCCGAGTAGCTGGGACTACAGGCGCCTGCCACCTCGCCCGGCTAATTTTTTGTATTTTTAGTAGAGACGGGGTTTTTCACCGTGTTAGCCAGGATGGTCTCGATCTCCCGACCTCGTGATCCACCCGCCTCGGCCTCCCAAAGTGCTGGGATTACAGGCGTGAGCCACCGCGCCCAGCCACAAGCTTCTTAAAACTAGGAAAGATGTTTTATTTTTCTCACGAAGTTCAGTGATGTCTTGAGTACAGTACTGAATAAATTCTGATAATTTATTGGTCTTGGATTTCTTTTCTAATGAACTTGGAGGCATCTCCTTGTAACTAAGCCAACAAATCTGATTGCTCCTTATTACTGGTTCTTGACCATTGTCCTAGCTAGGACTTTTGATTAACTATATGTTTCTAAAACTAAAGCAGAAAAGAAAAGTGTTGGAATGGGGTGGAGTGTCTCATAGTATGGTTGAGAAACAGGCTTGGTCTAGAAACAAGAAGAAAGCCCATAGAGGGCCCAACGGTGTCATCCCATGGAACACTCCACCCCATGCGGCTGGATTTTCCCCTCCTTTGCATCAACACAGACTCTGTCTATCTAACATCCTCATATGCTGCCGGGTGATGCCTCTTTTTGCCAATATTTCAGGAAGCTATGATTAGCAGCTGAGGAAATGGAGAAATGAGTCATTCTCGTATTGCAGAAGTTGAAAAGTGGGAGGAACTTTAGGATAAAGAACTGTGGCGCCCAAAGAGGAATAGAGGACAAAATAGATGCAAATATTAGACAGACAGAAAGTCACTTAAGAGTGTCTCAAGATTATTCAATGCTTTGTTATAAGACAGTATGCTCATCTTCTAAAACTGTGATTCAGAAATTTAAGGCACCGCTGTTGAATGGATCCACAGATGGTTTTCAGAAGTTTGTGACCCTTGACCATGGAAGCACATTTTCTGAGTGCTTATATTTTTCTGATGAGTGGGTTCATAGCTTTTATCAGATTTTCAAATGAGCTCATGATCTAAAAGGGATTGTAAAATACTATTTTTAGCCATCAACATACACACATAATCTGACCCCAGGAAATCAGGTGATCCAGAGTCAGACTCTCATAACACCATATAAGGAAAAAATAATACATCTGAAGATTCCGTATGTACTATAATGTACCTGTTCGTCTGTCAGATGTCAGAGAGTTACTTCGAGGGTGAAATCTGTTTAGCACTGAAGACATATGGTGGAATTTCTAAATTTCGAATGACTGGGGATCAACAGACTTCGGCTTGGTGGAATCCTTAGTTTGCCTAACTAAGCCAGTCACAAAGTAATGATATAATTTGTCTCCCCAGCTGTCATTTTATAGCATTATGCTATTTTTCTGATTGGTTTCAAAAGAAGGTCTTCTCAGTCTCTGTGCTAAGACAGGAATCATCAGAATCCCTTTTTCCCTGTCTGGCGCAAATGACTGCATGACAAGGTAGAGATGGGTGCATGGCTTCGGCCTGGGGTACATGTGTGTCTATCAACTAAATCTAATTATTACTGGGGAAAAGAGAACAGCCTAGTCCTGTGGCCTCCAAGTATTTCTGTCTCACCTAGTAGAAAAGACAGAACATACTCCTATATTATATATCTACTTATCAATTACATAGCTTTTATCAATAGCTAGTATTTCAAAACACAACATATATATGAGACTAGGTTCATTGTTAAGCATAATAAATGTAAATCCCTCATTTATTCTTTATTAAACATACCTTTAACTAATCTGTACTGAAAGCCTTTTGAGTGCCGGGTGTTCTAATCACTAAGGACCCAGTGAAGGAAACGAAATCACATGCTCATGGAACGTACAGCCTGGTAGAGGAAGACAGACCCCGAGTAAAACAAATAAATAAACTGTACAGTTGTGTTCCATGTCAGTGACTGTGGTGGAGAAAATCAAAACAAGAAAGAGCATCCGGGTGGGTTAGAGGGGAGAACTGCACTTTTAAATAAAATAGCCCCAGAGGAAGGGCTTGAAGATCTAAAGATGAGGGAACTAACTCCGTAACTCTTTGTAACTATTTGACATACAGATTCAAGGAGCCCATGTCTGTGTGTATTCTATTAAATAATAGTCAAGCATAATTTCCTTATTTAGATAGCCAATATACAAAACATTCTGATGTCTTCTTCTTGTTCCCTGAGCAATCACTTCGGGAATTCCCCTTGGAAGATCACTTATTTAGTCTACACTTAACAAGAGCAACTGCTTTAAACACAATTCTCAGACCTCAGCCATATTATTACAGTTGACTTTTGGGGTCTAGCCGGAATTATAAAGTTTGGGTGGCTGTTTTGACAGCCATGGAGCCCTGTTGTCAATTAACTGTTCAATTCAATCTTGATTTGGTTCCCTGGGTGGTTTTACATCATATGGTTTATTTAGCTGTGAGCAATTCTCTTAAACGTCCAAAGTCATTTTGTGTTGCTTTATTGCAGGTGAAGAGGGAGGATATATGCACAAAAAGCAGTATCTGAACAGCTGGTAGTTAGTTACTCACAGGAAGTGGTAACTTGACAGCTTTCCTTTCCTTTCTGTTGAGTTACATTCACGTAGCATGAGCATTTCCCTTTTTACCAAGAAGAAAGATTTATTCAGCCTGGTGACGCTTCAGAAGAAAACAGTTTAACGACACTGATATTTTAAAATATTTTGTGACTCAAATTACAGCAATACGATGAGCTTTCGAGGAAAGGTTTTTAAACGGGAGCCCAGTGAATTTTGGAAGAAGAGACGAACAGTGAGGAGAGTAAACCAAGAAGAAATTCACAGATTTAGTTCTGTAGGTATCCAAATGTCAATGTTTTGCTTTCCATCTTTCCTTCAATCCTTTCTTTCAAAAATGATTAGCTCTACAGTGGTATTCTAACACAGGCTGGTGGGTGAAGTCTTATATGGAACAGAAGATTCCATTTGGGTCCTAAATATTCTCTTTTACTTGCATCATTATTTTTGAAGTCACGTTGTTCTCAAACCACATATAACTCTTTTAAAATATATTGATAGAGAATTTAATCATTAAAAATTACTATAATATTTGGAATTTAAGGTTATCTTAATATTATGGTACAAATTAAAATTTCTGAAGAAGTTATTCTCTTTTTTAAAGAAAGGCCTCTAATTGCCTATGAATCCAGTTGATGACATGTATATAGTTGTGTTTTTAAAAAATCATCATTGCACCATTTTATCGTATGCCACTAATTATTTATTTTAAAATTCTTAGAAAGAGCAATCCAAAATATGAAAGAAAAAGTAAATAAGCATTTGATTAATAGAGCTAAGGAGGACTTTAAAAAGTGATACTTTTAAAGGTTTTAAAAGTTAAAAAGATTTGATTTTGTTTTGCTGTTAAAAATATTTCTGCCTTGTTGTTTCAAACAAAATGAGAGCTTGAAAACCTGTACTTATTACAGAACTCTACAGATCTATAAACTGTAGAATGTATAGAGCTTTACAACTGTATAAACTACTGACAGTTGAATATCAGAGCTGACTGCTAGAGCACTTTAGTGACTTTCATGTAAAGTGAAGGGCCCACTTTGTATGTTAAATGGCTACAGCAATATTCCTGGGTAGCTTATTTTAGAAGAATATTCATTTTACCGGGTGGGTCTGGCTTTGTTTGCCTTCTTCAGAGCAGGGTTTCTCAACCTCAGTGCGATTGTCGTTTGGGGTCTGAGAATTCTTTTCTGTGGAGGGCTGTCCTGTACCATGTAGGATGGTTAGCAAATTCCTGGCTTCTATCCACTTAATGCTAGTGGCAATCCCTCTCCAGTTGCGACGACCAAGAACATCTCCAAACATTGCTAAATGTCTCTGGGAAGGGTGATCACTGATCACCCATATGAAAACCACAGTTCTAGGGGTGAAAGATCTTTTTGTTCATAGAAACATCTTTAATATAGAAACAGAGATGGCTTTTCAAAAAAAAATTTATATATATATATAAATTATATATAAATTTTTTATATAAATATATAAATTATATATATATAAACACGCACATGTGCACTTATATATAGGCTCTTTATAAATATGAGTAAGCACATTGCCTCTCAATGAAAAGAGGCCCTCTTTACACTAACAATTAGTTGACGGTAACTTGATACGAATAGAGTTTATTAGAGGTCTGCTCAGAGGGTTGGTACTGTGTTGTTTGTTCCGTTTCTATCTCAGGAGTGTGTGTCTGCCATTGGTGAATACATGCATTTGAGCCCCTAGCCTTGTTCCCATTAATGTAGCTCTAATTTTTCCACTGGGTATTTCATAGCTGGAGTATGCAGAGTCCTGGACCTGACCTCTTTCTCCCCATTGGTCAGAAATGAGAGCCTGGACCTAACCACTTCCTCCCCACTGGTCAGATATGTCTTCCCTACTGACTCCAAAAGAGCCTCGTCAGCCTGTTAAGGAGGATAACTGTTTCAAAATATTGCCTGGTTTGAGATTATTTTTAACTTGAGTCTTGTCCCCAAAACATAATTTCCCTACTGTTTTTATCTCAATGAAATTTAGAAGTACCATGGATTATGTCACCCTGAGAGTTACTTCTTGTGTCCACTAAAAGACACAATGCACAGAAGAACATGTCTGTCTTACCCAGACCACACATACAGGGTTGGCAAGAGGACAGTCCCCAGAGTCTCACCATATAATGAAACTAATCACTCTATGAATTATCTTAATTGAATTTGAACATATTGCTACTGAGTACTATGGGAAGAGCAGCCAGTAAGGACGCGGTATTTTCCCACAGCATTCAGTTAGCAATGTATTCAAATTTAATTAAGATCATTCATACAGTGATTAGCTTTCTTCGAGGACAGAAGGCACTGGGGACGTTCCTGCTACAGTTGCCTGCTTTTGGTCTGCCTAAAATAGGCATATCTACTTTCACAGGTTGTCTCTTGAATTGAGTGTGGGATTGTTTGATCCATCCTTAAGTATTATCCTGAGATGTACTTTTCATTTTGGAATGCAATGAAAGTGAAACGAGTAATTAGACACTAGGATTTGAAATAGGTATCTTGAGGGGGTCATTCTCCCTGCCGCTCTCACCTGCCATCTATACGGCCTTGGGCAAGTTACTTAAATCACTGTGAACCTCAGTTTCCTTCTCTGTAAAATGCTCATAATAATACCTACCCTGTGTTAAGATTGTTGATTAGAATACAGTTTGGTACTGTGCATTCTGAACATGGTTTGAACACTGTTCAAACCAGGTTACAAGTGTTGCCAAAGTTACAAGTGTCGTGTAGTATTACTAAAACTAAGTAACATATTTCCATTTCCAAGGACAAGGGAAAAGGGACACTGAAATTATCTTTCTAGTCACTTTAGCAATTGAAGTCACTGGACTACAGGTCACGCTTTTCTTTGATAACACAACCACCCAGGAGACAGGCTTCTGAACTGCATTAAGCTGAGAGCTTGGGGTCCCACATCTTTCTATGTGTTGATACAGTTTATTTCAGAAACACCATGGTTTTTTTCTACCCAGCCGAAGCCCAGTTTAGCTGAAACCCACTCTCAGCCTGATTGTACTGTGCCCAGTACATTCATCTAAGCTTTCTAAAATCTAAAACGGCCGGGCGTGATGGCCAGCACTTCGGGAGGCCGAGGCAGCCAGATCACAAGGTCAGGAGATGGAGACCATCCTGACTAACATGGTGATACCCCGTCTCGACTAAAAAATACAAAAAAAAAAACTAGCTGGGTGAGGTGGCGGGCGCCTGTAGTCCCAGCTACTCGGGAGGCTGAGGCAGGAGAATCGCTTGAATGCAGGAGGCAGAGGTTGCAGTGAGCCAAGATCGTGCCACTGCACTCCAGCCTGGGTGACAGAGCAAGACTCCGTCTCAAAAAAAAAGAAAAATATATATATACACACACATATATATACATACACACCAAGATCCCTAGACTGGCTTCAGAGCCTATTCATTCAAATAGTGATAAGGGAAGGAGCAATTCAGTTGACAAAACACCCAACAAATGAAGATGAGACCTAAAGTTAAGGAAGAAAGCAGTAACTTCTTTTAAATTTTGGATATACTCAAAAATTGTAGTGAAAGAGGAAAAAAGTGATTTTTGCATATACTTATCATATCTGTTTTTGTAATGATTATGTAGATCTTGAACTCAAGTCATTTCTTAATCTAAAGAACATTTAGAAATGGTTTAATTTTACAGTAATCTCGAATACCTATCCAGAGCTCTGTGACTTCCTAAGAATTATGCAACCCAAGTTTTATACCCTCTTGACCCAGGTTGACTATTCTGTATATTCTGGGTTTTTTTTCAAATGCTATTTGAAGCTCTATATTTTATGTAGAATTTTTAGTTCTTTTGAAAGTTTCCCTTATTAATCTAATTTTGAAATGTATTGTCTGAGAAATGCCACCTATCACAAACAACATACAATTGAGAGACTACATTGTGTTATGAGAAAAGCTTAAGGAAAGGGTGAACCTGACGTGTTAGATCATCAAGCAGAACTACTTCCCTTAATTTCTGAAATGTGTGTGGCGATCTGCCGCTGATGGTTTTCTTTTTAACTGCCTTTCTATTTTTATTTTATTCTTTTTTATACTAAAATTCTTCAGTATGATCTCTGGTACAAAGGAAGTCAATAAAGAGATCATTTCCTTCCTAACTTGTGTGTCCTAATTTAGAAAGATTAAAAACAGAATTAAGTTGAATTACTATATCAATCATCTGCACAGTCGTAAAAATATACAAATATATTTAAATAAATATGATTTGTTGTTTTTAAGTTGTTACTGGTTTACGGGTCATTAATCTGCAGGGTTTCAAAGTATTTGGAAAACTGGATACCCATGAAAATTCATCCTCTCATCTTTAAAGTACCTATTAGCACTTTAATAGGAAAATAAAAATGAAAACTCTATGTAGAGGATCTAATCTGAATAGCTTTAACATATCTCTAATATACATTATTTTATATCATACTGTACTATTATCATTCAAGTCAGTTTTTTCTTCTTGAATCTTCCATGTTAATGTGAGGAGCCTCCCTCACTGGTGATCTGTGCTTCGTTAGGTGCTATCTCTTTGTTTTGTACAACCATTCATAGGGCGTTGCTTATTTAGGCTGTTGTGAAACGAGCCAGTTAGCTGAAAGAAGCAATGGATGGGGTTCCAGGAGCCAGGATTTTGGTTCTAGGAACAATGAACCAAGGCTGAATCAGGGTTGAAACACAAAGGAAAGCAGGAATGAATGTTGTATATGGACAAGTTGAAGAATGCGAAGAAGCAGGAGTAACCAGGGGATGTGAATTCAAGAAATGGAGAAGTGAGCATTGAAACTTGGTCCACCTGAGAATCCAGGTAAACACAGATGAGAGGACCTGGGTGCGGGCTGCAACAGGAACAGTTAGCTCATGTGCCAGGGAGCTGCAGAGAAGCTGCTTCCAAAATGGAAGTGGAGGGGTACCTGTAATTTAACTAAGAATGGTCTTCCTTTCCCTGGCAGCTGACTGTGAAGGGAGGGAGAAGAGTTAAACCAGAAGTGAGCCAAGCTTCTGAGCATGGGCAGGACTGTTTGTTAGAAAAGAGGAGTTCCAACAGGAATAGTAAGGACGGTCATGATCCCAGCAACCCTTTATTTCCTGGAAGGTGGCAGTGGTACAAAACTTTTTTATTTTAAAGATTCCCTCAGTTGGTGGTAATTTTCATTGTGGATGTTGACATACGCACTAATAACATTCATTATATGGTTCCTTAAAGCTACCTTTTCATTTTCTTTCCCTCCTATTAATTTTT